AATAAAATGAAGTAATGAAATAATTAAAAGAGCAAGTTGATGAACAAATAGGAGAATAAATGAAGGTAAAAAATAAAAGAAAACCATAATAATGTTAAAAAATATATTGAAGATAAAAATATTGATAAGAAAATTTATGAAGATAAAATATCATAAAAAAAAAATAAACCCTAAGTTCGAGGTAGGTTATTAGATAGGATTGAAATGGAGTAGAAATAACAAAATATATGTGTTAGATGACAACAGATTAAACAAGATCAATAATATTCTAGATCAGTTTAAACCTACTCCTGTGATGACATTTGGAACTAACACATTCCTTTGGTTTAGTAGTATACTTTGATTATTGAATTTAATTATTTTAATCTTCTCTTCTAAACACAGGTTACATCTACCCTTGAAATTATTAGGAATGTGTGCAAAACCCATGATTTTCTGGTCATCCTGAGGGTTCAGATCTTTCTCCCTCAATTCCCATAATTTTTTGGAAAGAGCAGTTTGGTATTTTAATTTTGTGTTGGAAAAAGAGTGCCTCTGGGTGTAAAGTCTTTGTTTCCATTACCCTGTAGAAATTCCAATGTAAATATTGTGCTTTAATTTATTTTCTTTGGCATAAATAGTTGCTTGGTAAATAACATTTTACATTTTCCTTTAACTGGACAATGTTCACTATTTCTACAATTACTATTGGGATCCATACCAGGTTTATTGTTGATAGCATAGAAATTACTTAGAATGTAGTTATTATGGGAGTTGATAATTTTGTAAATGTTATTTGTGCAGGAATAGCTTATTTTGATGGTTTTTCCTATTGAAGATCTTACTTAGAGTGTTGTTTTTTGAAAATGTTTGTTTATTAACTTCAGAAAAACTTGTCCAATATTAGTGTTGGATAACTTACTGAAGGGGATAGTGAACCACACTATTTTCCTTTTTCTATTTTTGTGCTTAAAACCCATCATATCATTCTCAGTGTTACTAATGGGGCTTAAGTAGGATAGTTTATTTTTAAAGCCACTGTTTTGGAGAGCATTTTTGTGCAATTCTTTGTTTTTATCAAAAAATATACCTATTAGATGAAAGCTTATTAATTCTGGAGCTGACAGTAATGGGTATCTGCTTCATGATGGCATAGGGGTGGTTAGAATTAACATTAATGTACTTGGGGGTTTCATGTTCTTTATGGTAAGGTTTAAAAGTATTACTATTCAGGTTAAGTGTGATATCCAGATAATCTAAATTTTGAGGTTAGAGGTAATCTCAATCTTAAAACCCAGTAACTTAAAGGCTATAACAATTTTCTTCTGTAATTTTACAGTAAGTGGACCATTGCTATTGAGAACAAAAATGAGTCCATCATCTCTATATAAGCTTACTAGTTTAGGATCTACAATTCTACTAAGAATATCTAGAATATAGAAGCAGACAAGATCAGTAACCTGGCTGAATCACATGCTCCTATTGGAATGTCAAAGTTGTCATACTTGCACTTAATCCAGGTAGAATTATTAAATGCTGAGAATGATTTCCTGGTAGTAAATATGATATTAATTTCATCAGCAGTTATCTCTATATGGTTTTTTGCAAAGTTGATGCAATCCACTAAGAGGTCTCTGGAGATAGAGGAAGAAAAGTCAATAATATCAACTTAATAAAGTTGCTCTATTTTTACCACTCACATTATATAAAAGTCCTGCCAGGCTTTATTATTGATTGGCAAAAATGTAACATCATAAGATATGCTGGTAACACACTTTGATAGTAGATACAGAAAGAAAACCACAGGAACTACTACATAAGGTAGTAACTGAAAATGAAGACTAACCATCAATGGTAAGAAGACAAAACCTATAGTTGATAGCAAGAGGGACAGCCCAATATGTGAGGTATGAATTTGTGATCTCAAAATCTTCAAAGTGTTTTAAGAAATGACAGAAAATTGGATGCAGAAATCCAAAGTTTCATTCAAATAGCAAAAGATGACTTCCACAATGTAAACAAAGTATGAAGAAACAAGAAAATGTTGTTAGAAAAAAAGAAAATGTGCTGAACTGCTATGTATTATGAATCTATATGTTAGTGAATGCTGGCCAAATTCTTCACAAAGAGGATATTTGTGGCTGCAGAGATGTGGTTTTACAGAAGGATATTGTATTCATGTTATAAGCTAATGCTTACTGCTATTTCCAAACCAGCATAGTCATATAGTAGTGTGAAACAGAACCTATTTTGTGAAATTTTTATTATATTGTGTACTGGGATGTTGTTTAGCTTAGTCTGTAGGAGAGTATCCAATTAAAAAGAAAATGGTAGCACCCATGAGAAACCATTGTCAACATCTTTATAGTCAGTTATTTGCCAGAAATGAGAATTTCCTATTTTTTCTCAAAATGAACCAGCACAGCCATGCAACAATGCTATAACAATGCAGCATTTAGGGTGTGAAGAATGTATGCATGAAATGTTTAAATGAAAAAAAATTCCTACCTTTTAAACCTGAAAATCCTCTGTCACCCTTAGCTCCAGTAATTCCAGCTTCACCAGGAAGTCCTGCAAGGCCAGGTTCACCTTTTGCACCACGTGGACCATTATAACCTAAAAGATAAAAATACAACATTCTATAAAACTGATGTCTATTTACCTGTTACAATCCAAAAATATATCTCTTCAAGTAACTGTTGTTATCACCTACAAAGTTCTTTAATATTGTACTTGAGTAAGCTGTTAACATTTTTATTGACTTACTCAGCAAGGTTCCTCAATGAAAAAATATTAGATGCAGTTTTTTGTAATTTTAGCAATAAAAAATTTCAAGAGGGACTTTAGCAAACTTTAGAATATAAAGACTTAAAAATATAAATCAAAATGCATAAAAGACTAAAAATTTTAATACCCATTTCACAATTCTAATTAGTTGATAATATTGTTCCACTTAAAAACAATCATAAATTAAACAAATACTCCAATATATTAATACTTGAAAAAATTAAAAGTCTTAAAACAATATTACAGAAATTTTAACATAATTTCAAAGATCAAAACATCTCCATTCTTTGATTTCATTTCTTGATAATTACTTTTCAGCTTATAATAAAACAATCAGATTAATTCAAATAAATAAAGCAATAGCAACTTCAAAAGTTTTGAATGCTAATGATAATATTTAAAAAAAGAAACAGATTTTATCATTTTTTCTCTTTAGACAGGAACAGAATCTAATGTCGAAAATTTTATTTTCACAAGAGAAAGACAAGTAGAAATGAAAGTGTATGACTTTTGTTCTTTTATTTGAAACTTTTAAATAATAACATTTGTAAAAGATTTTTAATATCTACTATGGTTGCATTTTTAGCTAATGTTTCTCTTTTTGCATTGTATCTAATTCTTTGCTTAGGAAACAAGCTTCAGGAATCATAATATGTTTATATGTTGCTACAAATATACAATATCACTGGCAGTGATTTAGGATTGAATTATCATAAATCAGACATAAGCTACAACTTATAATAAACATGAAATTCACTATTGTTGTTTTGTTCTCACAAGAATTCTGTTCAAAATACAAAGCTATTTAAATTACCTCTTGGTCCAGCAGTTCCAGGAAGTCCATTTTGTCCTCTTTCACCTTTCATACCATCAAGTCCAGGACGACCAGGCAAGCCATCAAATCCTTAAGAAAGAAAAATCATTTTAAATCCCAAAAGGATATATGAAACAATTATTTGAATAATCCAACAATTCCTATGTTTAAAGAAAATGGCTCTCATTAGTATCTTGTCAGGCTAAATTGAATTTAAAAACTGCTGGTGAAAAACGATATTTTATATTAAATTTCAGGTTTTATAAAAATAATACAAAATGAATAATTCAAAAGTTAATTCATTAGTTATTTAATAAAAGTTTTAAGAAATGTGCTTGAAAACAAGATCTAAATATAATCATGAGAAGCAGAAGTGTAGAAGTTAAACATTTGTAGATAATATTAATGTTACATTACCTTTTGGCCCTGGTAAGCCAGGCAAGCCTTTTGCTCCTGGGAATCCTCTATCACCAGGCTCCCCTTTACGTCCTAAAGGAAAAATAAAATTCATTTAAAATTTAGTGATAATTTTTCCATTATTCTTGAAAATAAATTAACTTTTTTCTTTTTCAAATAATTTACATTCAATTACAGTATGGCTGAAATATGTAGATGCCACTTTCACCAGAAAGTCATACAAATACTGCTGAACCATGTGAACTCCAGAAGACTTTCAATCCAATTTACAATGAGAAAAGAAAATAATCAGCTAACCTTCCTGGATGTACTAAAAACTAGTGCAGAGAATGGGTTCAACACATCCACATATCATAAGCCAACCTTCAGCAGACAATGCCTCAACTTCATTTCCCACAATGAAAAAGGGGATTGTTTGATGTTTACAACACCATGCAAAAATCATGTGCCAACCCAGATACATACAGACGGGAAATTATTGGCATCAAGCATACCCTTCTAAATAACAACTAACCTGAATCAGTGTTTGCAGGTGGAAACAAAAGGGTCAAGAAGGAGGGCCAAAAAATTGCCACAATTTGCCCGTTTTACACCAAGTGCTTATTAGAAAATATTCAGATCTGTGGTCAATACAACATCAATCAGAACAAATATTCAGAGGCAGCTATATTCTATAGAGAAATCTCTGCTGAGTGAAGCCTACCAATGGGAAAGAACATGACCAAGAATTGGATATACTCAAAGGTGAAACAAGCTACCCACTAAAAATAAGGCTGGAGGAACATCAAAAACCTTAGTATAGGGGTGAGACAATGAAATCAGGCATGATTGATCATGAAAAAGGTAGTCATCAGCCCCTGCAGAATGAAGTGAATATACTGGACAAGAAAGAACATTGGAGATTTAGACTTCTGAAAGAATCAGCATATATTCTAGGCTATGAGGATCTTCTTAGTCTGCCTAGAATAGAAATAAATACAATAAGGGAGTTGTACATAAAGAAAGATAAATGACAGCAGGTCAGCTGTAACAAGACAGAAAGCTTCAGTGAGTGCAGTCAATCATGATAATTGCAGGAGCACTCATCAACAGGCAAATTAGGTTTATGGCTCCAAGTTCTCTATACATAATTATCCCACAGAACAATAGCCTAGTGGATTAAAGTGTTAGTTTGTGAATTCAGTGTTGTAGTAATTGTGATTTCAATATCTGGGTAGTTTGTACTTGAACTCCATGGAAACAGAGTAAGTAATAACTGAGTAATATTAAAACAAGATGTGATTAATCTACATGTTATCAATATGAACATTGGAGAGATTACTGTAAAGTTATCAAGCCAATTTATTTCCCAAAGTCTGACCAAAAATTTTTTTGGGAAGGGTTTCTTGGTTGCACTGAGATATTTCCAGTGCACCCTTATATATAACAATTGGTCAGCTTTTAATATTCTAATAAGTGAAAGCATTTACTTAATAGTGAAAGACAGTTTGTCAATTATTATACTTTAAACAGTTTAGCATACAGTAAAAAAAAATGCCAGTATATTTTATGTCCTTATAATAATTTGGTTTTCAGAGAGGAGTTTTTTTTTAGTATAAATATACATAGTACCTATTTGAAAAATAGGTCTATTTATGTATGGATTGATACTTCTGCCTAAGATCAGTGTAGTATCTGTGAACTCCAACTTAGTATTTCTAATTTAATTAAACCATCCTGTTCTAGGAGAAGACTTCTGGCCTAGTAGATATGTCACTTGCCTCATTGCCTTCAAGTCAGATATTGCAATCAAGGTAGAATTTTTATTTTATATAGCTGTTGGTTTTATTACAGCAAAAAGTTACAGACAAGAATATACAAATATGTTGTGCCTTATATAGATAAATAATTTTCTTCTAAAACATTAACATATTTTTGTAATAACATTTTGAAAATTTCAATAAAAGGAAATCTTTTCAACAAAACATTTAATGAAAATTTTAGCCAAGATGATATTTTGTTCTATAGGGATGTTGTGTACTTCACCTGTTTAAAGAAATTAGTACCTACCTGGATCACCTTTGTCTCCTTTTGGACCCAATGTACTCACTCCAGGTTGACCAGGCTCTCCAGGTTGGCCTTTAGGACCAGATAATCCATAGCCTGGAACACCTTTTGCTCCAGGCCTACCAGGTCGACCAGCTTCTCCAGGACGTCCATCTGCACCAGGCAATCCGGCAAAACCCTACAGAAATAATACAAGTGCACATATTCAGTATCTTACTCGATCTTATTTGCTTTTTAAAATTTCTAACCACCTTCTTCAATCAGATTTTCTTATACTACTAATTCATCTCTTAATTTGGGACAACATTGCCTGCAAAGGAAAACTGTCAGTATGCTACAACCATAAAAGTATAAGCTTTATTTTCTCCCACCAGAAATAGTCAACTTTATGGAAGCTATTTTTTCCTTCAACTACATTAAAATCCCAAGGCTTAGTGAAACATCTCTTCTATTAAAAGAAGTATATCTACATATTGCAATTAACTGTGGAGCAGCAAGAAAATTGTTAAGGAAAATAGGATCTACTTGAGTTTCTGTGAATGGATAACAGAACAAAGACAAAGAAGGGTAAAGGGTGAAAAGTTACTTAGAGTAACAAAAGACAGGAATTTGTAGAAAGCAATGGCTGCCCATGTCCTGAAAGGATATAGCATATAAACAAAGAACAATTTTGCTAATTACTACCTAGTCTTACAAAAATAAGAATGAAACTTAAGTAAATTATTCACAATGTGTTTTTGTTTATAACTGAGAAGAATTGGATGTATTGAATTTCATTTCAAGTTTGTGTTATGATAGGTATTCTCTCTGATGTAGTATCGTCAGTAAATGATAACTCCCATAGTTATAGCAATATTGCCATTTATACCATACCTAATTTACGTACCGTTACATTTCACTGAACCAAAGAGGCTTTATACCTTTACCTGATCTTTGACTTCTATGAACAACCTGGGAGACATAATCCATCTCTCAGAGTGAGTTTCTTTATTTCTTTTTATAGGAGATCTAGGTCTTAACTGATTCTCCTCATTTGAATCATCATGATACCTCTGGTCACTCTCATCTCCAGATTGTTCCTCACTATTGCTGGATACACTCATTCTCTCCTTACTCTCCTGTTCTTCACTTTCATATCTCTGGTGGTCTTCCTGATCACTCAATACTGGATTCATTCATCCTTTCTTGCACTATCTTTTCTTCTGCTTCCTCTTCCTTTTCCATAACTTTATGCTCTCTTGTGGCTCTAAATTAGTCTTCGTGAACCAGTATGTCCTGTCCATTCTTTGTTAACACAGCTGTGTTAAATCCCTTTTGCAACACAAAATTCACCTTTTCAGGACTTGAATCCTTGTCCTTTCTGTACGACACACTTTCATTTGTTGCAAATGACATGGTAATCGGAGCTCTTGTTTGCCTTCCCATCAATGCGGATGGGCTTTGTCTTCGGCCTACATGCAGAATAGCTCTATGACTTAGGAGTAACCTGGGTATATACTTCTCTATATCATAATCCACTGGAGAGAATGTTCTCAATACAATTTTTACCGTTTGAACCATTCTCTCCACAATTCCATTTGACGGTGGGTGGTAAGGTGGTGTTTTGTATGGAATGCAGCCAATATATTTTAACTATGCATATAAACTTTCTTCACAAATCTCAGGTGCATTGTCAGAGAGCAAGGTTTTTGGAACTCCATTTCCCAAAAACACTATCCTCAACATCCACTTCACAGTAGTGGTTTTTATATCCGTGAATATAATAACTTGAAGCCAACCTGAATACAAGTCAACTAATATCAGAAATAGTCCTATACTTTTAATGTAGGCATCATCCATATCTACTCATGTCCACAGCTCCATTTCCCTTGGCCAAGAGTAAATTTTAGTTTGCCTAAATTTCATTATTTCTGCACACTTTGGGTATTTTTTTAACATACTCTTCCATGTCTATTGATGCCTTCAAAGCATCCTAAAATTTTGATGATTGACCCATAAAACTGTTTCAACTGAAGATTACTTTTCTTTAACTTTAGTCTACCTATTCTTTCCCCCAAATTTCTCAGTATCAATGTAACATCACCTCCAGTTTCCACCTGCATAAGTTACTCCGTTCAACTTTACCATTTCCCTACTTTTATCTTGTGCTTTTATCTCAGATATTTCTGTACTTTCAATCAGCTGATCTATATTTTCCACTCACTTTTCATATGTGCATACCATCTGGAAATGATTCCTCTTTTTACACTTAAAACACCATTTTCCAAAGGCTGGATGCATATTTTGGCACCTTTCATATTCTTTATTGCAATATCTGCATACAAGTAAGTTTTTAGTAGCATTGTAAGTCTACATGCTGCCTTCAGAAGCATTAATTTTTTAATCTATTTCACTTGTTCTAAGAATTCTACACTTGCTTCCAGATTCTGAAGCTTGAAACTGCTCTAGAATTATATGCTTGTATGAGATATTAAACATTTCTTCAATCAGTTTTAACACAATTAGCTCATCTTTGATAGATATTTGTTCCAAACTCAGCTTTTCAATTCACAATATCTTGACACTTTTTTCAATTGTTGTGCATATTGCATAATAGTTTTGTCTGATCACTGTATACTTTCGAGAAATTTAGTTCTTTCCACTATAACCAATCTTATTTTTGGTCATACATTTACTTTTATGATGGCAGCAATTTCTTCATACACTAAATTTTCCAATACATTGGGATAGACAATGATCGAGGCCAAAAACAAATCTGTAACTTCATTTTCTCCTCCACTAGCTTTGGTGTTCTTTAACTTTTTTTTACTCTTGCCAATGTTGTAAGACACCTAAGCCAGGTTTCCACATATTCAGGATCCTCCATTGTGGGTAAGTAACTGATCAGCGACACCATATTGTTATGATAGATATTCTCCCTGACAGATATAGACTTGTCAAGAGAAGGTAACTCCTGTAGTGATTCTACCTTTTATATCATACCTAATTTGCATATTACTATAGTATGTTTTAAAAAAAATGATTAGTTTCAAATATACAACCAAGAAAGACTGAAATATTTTAATTTGATATGCTGATACAGAAATCAACAATATGATAAGATTAAAGATGCTTTTGAAAATAAACTTAATAGAAATAAAACTGATATCTCACCATTTCTCCTTTTGGTCCAGATAAACCAGGAGGACCAGTAGGCCCTGGAGGTCCAGATGCACCTTTATTTCCACTAAGACCAGCAATACCTGGAAGACCGGCATTTCCTTTTTCACCTGAATAAACCAAATTTTTTGTTGATTATTTTTTTTAAAATTGTATCTTGAAAATATAAATTAAAATCCTATTGGTTTCAATTATAGGGAACAGCTGCAAAATACTTCCCGATTCCCAAATTTACAAACAAAACAGATGAATGCTGGGATATTTTTCCTAGCCAATAAGATTGGGCACTTCTTGGTCTCACCAGACATCTTGTTCTGTCTTGAAGCCAGAATGCTGCAATTGCTTGTCTGTATCCCCCTTTTGTGTATCCTCTTTAACACCATTCTTAGTTTGCAAACTTTTTGCTTTATTACTGTTGTTTTGCCTTGCATATATTGTTTGTTTGTTTAATATTATTTCTGCCTTGTTCTTTTCTTATTTTCTCTTGTTATTGTTTATTTCAAACATTTTAATTCTGTTTGGACATTTCTACCAATTATATTTAACCATGGCCAATTACTCTATAAATCTAGTTAAGTCAATTAAATTTTCAGCACATTACATTTTTTCTTTACAGAATTTGACAAAACTTTGAAAAATATGATTTAGTTGCTTAATTGCATGAATCATGGAGGTAAGAATATAAGTAGAATATAAAAAGGAAATCATTTTTTTAAATGAATTTATTTTGCAGATTAAAAATTGTTTATAAAGACCTATCAAGATTACTGAACAGTTTACAATCAGATTTTAAAAATTTAAGTTTTTGACTTAAGAACAAAATTTAGAACAATAGTTTTGTTCTCCTTTCTAAAATTCAAAGAGAATGAAATGTACCCTTTATGACAGGAGCTTGAACTGGTTCTCCTTTTTGTCCCTTGGGGCCAGATGAGCCAGGAAGACCAGAATCTCCCTAAAAAAACAATTATATTAATGTCAGTATTTGGAAATATACAGTTTAATGTATTAAAAAAAATTATGTCTTTCTCTTTGCTGTCATAAGAAATAAATTTTCCTAATATTTTATTGAACCTATTGTAAAATCCTGAAATAATTATAAAAATTATAAACTAAAAATCCGGTATTAATTATAAAAATTAAAATTAAAAAAAAATGATATAAATTATAGGTTTCTATAAAAAGTCTGATATTGTAGGTTACTATGAATCATCAATACCAAAGTTGATGCCATATATCAAAATAGACAAGAATTTTGAAAAAATAATGAATCATTGATTTTAGTCAAAATCTGCTTATATTTTGCAATTTTGATTTAGACTTTTATTAAAAATATTTTTTATAAGAGGAAAGTGAACTCAAGTAGAGAGGAACAAAAAAAAATACACATACTGGATAACCCCGCTCTCCTGGTGGTCCATATAAACCATCTTCACCAGGTTCTCCAGGTTCACCTTTCTCACCAGAGCTTCCAGATAAACCTGATCGTCCAGGAGGACCATCTAAACCAGGATCACCTCTTTCCCCTTTACTACCCTGTCGGCAAAAGTTGCATTCACCACCTTTATCACCTAAAAATGAAAATTTCAACATGAGAAGACTAAACATAAGTAAATAAGGAATTTAGTTGCAAGATAAAAATTTAGTGAAGAACAGATTTTTTCCACTAATCTGACATTAATCATTAAACATACCAACTGAAATGGTGGACAGAGGAAGACATTTTAAAGCAATCATCAATCAACTCAAATTTGTAGAAATTGAAAATCATATAGAAACACTTTCATGAGAAAAGAGTTTTCAGAGAATGACAGTGCAACAAGATTTTATATAGAGAAAGATTTTAAATAGTAATGCAATTGTCATTTGCTTAGATTTCAAAAGTTCAATTGAGGTCAATACAATATTTTCACAATGTCTTTCACTAAAATTTGCTTTAAATTTTGCCATATACAAAGAGTAGGATTAAATTCATTAAAAAAATTAAGAAAAAGTTTGTTAAATTATTTAAATGAATAAAAATAGAATTAAATTATTTAAACCAGGCATTCATATACCAATTGCAGTGCACTGGGAGATTTTAAAAAAAAAATGTCCTTAATTCCTTTGCATTTTTAATATTTATATCCAGCATTTTCTGGAAATTTCGACTCAAGATTTTGGTAGGTTCCCTCAATTGATTTTTTGTGAGGAGGGGGTCATGAACAAATAGTTATTTGCAAAGTGAGTCAGAATCAACTGGTTCTTATATGTTCTTTTTTATCACTGTTATTCAATGTCTCTACCATGAATATATACAGAACTTTCTTTGGTATTTCACTGTTAACATATAAATATTAAATGTAAAATCAATTTTCAGAGTTTTATTATGTGACTTATTATTTGTACTTTAAGAAAATATCAATGATTTACTTTAAAGGTATTGATATTGAATAACTACCTTTGGGACCTGGTAGCCCATTCAGACCATTGATACCATCCTGGCCTTTAAAGCCCCGACCACCTTTGTCTCCCTTAGGTCCTGTGGGGCCTGGGTTTCCATCAAGTGTTTGTCCTGGGGGTCCAGTTTGTCCTTTGAGACCAGTGTCTCCTTTAGCTCCTGGACGACCATCTTTTCCTGGGCGACCAGGAATACCATCTAATCCTGGGTCTCCAATTCCAGGTTCTCCTTTTTGGCCAGGTTCACCTTTAGCACCAGGGAATCCGGGACGTCCTAATAAGCCATCTTTACCAGGAAGACCTTATCAAAAATGAAAAAGAATTGTTTTGATATAGTTGTCAGCAAATTTAAAAAGGGATTATAGGCCACAATAAATGTCTAAATTTATAGCCATTTAAGGACAAAAACAAAGAAATAATTACCTTCAAAACCTTGTTCACCCCTCTCTCCCTTTGGTCCATCTCTACCTTGATTTCCTGGGGGGCCTGGTATACCAGGACCTCCTATTTCTCCTTTCAATCCTCGAGGGCCAACTGGACCAGGATTACCTTTCATACCAGCAGGACCAGTGAAGCCACGAGGTCCTTGTATACCAGGATCTCCAGGGGGACCAACAACAGTTCCCTAATAAAACAAAAGCAAACACAAATTATTCAAGAAAATTATATACAGAAAGTAATTTTTAAGTGTTCAAAATATCACAATATTTATTAAATAATTTTAAAGGTTCTAAAAATCTGATAACACCAACTTAAATGCCACATTTGATGGCCTCTAATCAATGGCAAATAACTTTCTATTTACAGATTTTATATTGCATCATGATAGCTGGATGTGGGTCCCTGTTATCCTGTTCATAGGTCTGGAATATTCTTATAAGATAATCAACAAACGTGTCTTTATGGCTTCTTGCTTTCCTGTCAACTATAATCTTCAAAAGATAAATGCAACATCAATCATCATCTTTTGTCTTCTTAAATCTTATTCTTTGATATTGTTTTCTCTACTCATTAACATTTTTCACTTTCTTTCACTCTAAGTATTGCCTTGCTTGGAGTGAAATGATTAAATAAAAATTCTAATATTTCACAGTAATCTAAAATTGAAATTGGTTGTTTACAAAAACAATGACAATCATAGAATAATAGTTGTAGGTGTTTGCTCATTTTTCCCTTTTGCCTAAAACTGGGATGTTAATTCGGTGGTCTATTCATTCACAGCCACTATTATGATCTGCTTTACTCATTCCTTTAAAACTACCCATCGATATCTACAAATATCAGCCTATGTTTGGTCTCTTTGCAACTGCTTAAAGTGTGCCATGAATTTATTCACTCAGTCTGCTATCACCAAAAATATATTAGATTTAACTATTAATGTACTCTCTAAAAGCCACCTTTGTTTGAATAGCACATGGCCAGTCAACTCACTTTCCCAAAAATATTCTTATAAGATAATCAACAAACGTGTCTTTATGTAAACAAAAACCACATGTCCAGTTGATTAACTAACCTAGTTTCTGTAAAGCCAATTCTCATAAATTATTATGTCTAAGAACCCATACAAATCTGTTATTTTTATAGTTCTGTACCATAAAAATAAATGGGCCTTTTTACATTTAACTGTTAGGCAATTACTGTCACACTTTGTAAGACAGTGTCACCACCTATATTCATTTGCAAATGCTCATTATCACTAAACTTTAATAATAAAGTATTGCCACTTGTATGCCTTTATGGCTGATAGAAGAGCATGCAAACAGGTTAAGGAAAATGACTCCACAATTAATAGGTAATAGGCATGGAGTTATCTCCCTTGGATACAGTCTTTTTTTTTTTTCTTTTGTCAAGTTATCATTAATTAAAAATTGCTTAGAAATCTGTCTTCTCATGAGATTGGAAATTGCTTTATTTTCTAAGAATATTTTAACAATATTGCACTACAATATGCCATTTTTTGTAATATATGCAAAAACGTACAGAAGATCATTCGAATACATATTGTCCAAATTGAAAATAAAATTAAAAAAAAAATAAAATAAAAAAAATTAAAAAAAATCTTTAATAAAGTCAGTATGTGATAAATTTGAATGAAACGAATAGAAATAATACAGAATTAAATTTTGATTCATATTTATATTCAAATTACAATATTAAAGTCAGTTTTCTAGTATTATAATATCATAACAGTTTTTATAAAAACTGAAAAGAAAAAACTGATACAAAAATTTTCACTTTTTTTTTTTTTATGCACCTATATTTTATAGATATAGATCACATTAGTATCATGCAGCTTCTTAAAACAGGCTAGAAGGATATATAACATTTACTTACACCTGGAGGTCCTGGGGGTCCAACAGAACCATCAAATCCACGGGGACCATCTCTACCAGGTTCTCCTTTCAGGCCAGGAAGTCCACTTATACCAGGAAGCCCTTCCATTCCTCTGTCACCCTGTAGAAAAAGTGATCAACATATTCAATTCTTAGATCAATTTATATATTGTAGAACAAGATAATATATGATAACTGATTTTCAATTTTATATTGTTATGCAAATCTATAAAAATGCATCACTTTTATAAAAATGTGATCTTTATGCTATAATTAACATGTTAAATCTGTTGAAAGTTTTCTTTTGATGACCTTTGAAGCAATGACCTTTTGTCTTGCAGGTAATTTGTTTAGCTTGTTTGACTTGGTTTTGTTAGATTTTGTTTGATGCCATGTTAACCCTGATGGGTCATTTTATGCCAACCAGGTGACTACATATACACACTTTATCATAATTATCAATAGAATATCTTCTATGCTGAAGTCAAGAGAGACTGATATCTTTCTCATTTTGATTATTTTCTTTTAAGAGTTAATAGCATATACTCACTTTGATACCTCTTGGACCAGGCACACCTGGAATTCCTTGTTTACCCTAAAAAGAAAGAAGATCCAAGGATAATTAAAAGGAAAAAAAAAGAAATCTTGCAATGTCAGAAAAAGCAGGAATAAATGACTTTTTTTTTTTCAACTTACTCTTGGACCAGCAATTCCAGCAACTCCCTTTTCACCTTTCATTCCAAGTTGTCCATCCATTCCCTGAAGAGTAAATATTTCTTGGTTATAGGTAAAGTACATCTGTATAGTTGGAATACAATTAATTTCTCTTCAAACAATTAAAATCAATTAACTGTTTTTATGAAAGAAAAGTCATTGAGATTTTGGTAATCATGATGTTTTGATTTTATGATCACAAATTTTACTCAAACAAAATATAAGTGTGTGAAAAGTCAGCTAATGAAAAGGATCTATTATTTTTGTCTTAATGATTAATAAAAATAAAGAAAAATACAAATTTTTGGGAAAATTCACTGATATGAAGGCATCAAGTTTCTTAATATTTTAAGTTTTACTTTTTCTCTAAACAAATAGCAATTATTCCTTTGTAACTGAAGTCATTTCAGTTTTAAAGGAAGAATTGGTTACAAGAGAAACATCTCTACACATGTTCATTATTGAGATGATTCATCATAAGATCTTCCTATTTACAAAACAGAATCTTCTTAAGTGACTTATTGATAATTTCTTACTGGATTTGAGTAAAGGGAAATGTCTGAACGTTTCATCAAGTTCAAAGCTACAAAATCTTTTTGAATGAAAAGTGGATTTGATTTTCTAGAAAGAAAATGGATTTCTCACTTTCAAAGAGATGTGTTGGTGTTTCACAAGAAATGACTTGTTTAGTAATAATAATGTTTGGAAGCAAGGGTTGCTTGTATAATTCACAGTTCTTTTGAATTTGGTCTTTTTAAAAAGGAGTTATTAAAATATTGGAGAGTAAATGTCTTCGTGTCATTTAGTGAAATGTTTCTGCTTTAAATAACAACTTTAGTGTGCTACTGCTAACAATGATCTTTGTCTTAGCCCACAGATGAAACAATGAATACCTCAATGAACAGATCTTGATAATGATCAATGAAGATCAAAATTTGTTTTGGAAAAAAAGGAAGTGTTCTTATTTCATGATTTGGCAATTAATTAAACTTGTTGCTTTAGTTTGAAAAATTCACTTTTCAATTGATCACCAAATAATAAAAAGACAAACACACAAAAAATTCTTTTTTTTTGGAAGAGACTAATAACATGAAAAACTAAAGAATATCTCTCCTCCAGAAACAATAAAAAATGAGATTTGTATAAAAACTGTCAAATATATTTTTAAAATAAATATTTTACATGATTAAAACAAAAATTACTACTTTTTACATAATATACAAAATCTTTAGCATAATTATTCACAAGTGTATGTAACAAACTAAGAAAGTAGATTTGAATGTTACTCACAGGAGGACCTTGATCGCCTTTTTCTCCAGGAAGTCCTTCATAACCACGATCACCCTGAAACCAATTAAATACAATTTTAACAGAAATTGTTTGCATGTTACAGTAATATATGTAGGTTAATAGATGATTGTTTCTCAAGTTATTCCTTACTATAGAAATTAACAAAGGCAAAAATTTAAAATGATTCAGTATTACTATTTAGAAGTAACTTTAATTAGCATCTACAGTGTAGCTACCAGAGAAATAGATCATGAGGAGTTTATCTGAGAGAAATAGAGATTTTAGAAAGCTTACCTAAAAGAGGATTATAGTGAGACCAGAGATTATAAGATAACCTTCAGCAGCTGATTATAGTAAAATTACTTGAGATAAAAAACTATCTATTTATTGTGTAAGAGAATTCAAGCAAGATTACTGAATCAAGTGGAAGTGAAAATATAAAAACTTTATCAGGAAAATATTTTCACCTCAAGGATTAAATAATGAATTTGTTAATATTCAATAAAAAATTGAAAAAAATCAGAATATATTTGTTATATAATAAATTATAATGAATATATTGAAGTTAAATACTATCGGTTACTTACAATTTCTCCTTTTTCTCCTTTTAATTCAGTTTTTTCTAAAGATTTAGAAAAGTCAAGAGGTACTACAGGCTTGCCAGGTGGACCACGTGGACCTCGAGGACCTGGATCACCTCGAAATGAAATACCTTTATGGCCTTTCATACCTTGGTTTCCTTTGCTACCTTTGCTACCCTAAAATTAAAGCAAAAATCAAAATATTACAAATCAACATTTTTTTTTAATTATATGGCATCAAACTAGTTATAAGAGAATCATTTTTAAAATTAATAACTATAATTTAGTTTAACAAGAATTTTCTTTAATAACATAAAAAGGATGACTATAATTGCATGATAATTAAAGAAGACATCAATTAGGCTTAATAAATTAAAATAATGAGGTAAGATTTTTTTTATCATTTAATTTTCAGAGAAGCTATAGTTATGTAATTTGGCAAAGGGAAAGTTTAGTCAAATTTCAAAATTTGGCTGGAGAATTGAATCAATTCTTTTCAAATGCTTGGAGAATTGTTCGAAATGAAAGAGAAAGAGAAAATTTGAAATATTTTCCAAATAAATTCAATATTTTTTTTTTATTTCATTTATTTTACAGAATTTATAAATTTATGTCAAGAAAAGAAAATTAGAAAGGAAAAGAGAAATATGAAGAGAAAGAAGGATGAACAGAGAAAAGGAAAGAATAAGAGAAATCAAGAGAAGTTACAAATATATATATATATATATATATATATATATATATATATATATATAATCATTACACCCCAAGCAAGGTGGTAATGCCATTAGAACAGTTACTGGAAGGGAAAGAAAATAAGAAGTCTTTAGTGAGGAGAAAGGACAATAAAAAACAAGATTCAGGAAGACAAAAGATAGTGATTAGTGTTGCCTTTAAATCTTTGAAGATTGTAGGTGGCAGGGAAGCAAGACATAAGAAAAGAATTCCACAGATAAGATGTAGGAGAAAAGAAACTATTAGAATAGCTAGTGCAACAGTTGAACAATGAGACCTAGTTGCCAATCTAGCGGTATGCTTATTCATGCAGTCGAAGCACCAAGAAGGAAAGCTCATCTGAACAATTGTCACAAAGCTACATCATGTCAATGAGAAAGTGGCTGAAATCAAAGATGCCAAGTCAGAATCAATTATATTACAGACCCTTCTTTGAATTTTTGTCACAGAATCTTGGGATATATAGTAGGAACACCAGACCATATGAGGCAACAATATTCAATGCATGGACAAATCGTAGATTTATAAATGCACAAGATGGATTCTGGTGAGAAAAATTGTCTAATACGGCACAGTGAACCAAGTTTCATAGCAGTAGGCCTAACAGTTGATTCAATATAATATTTCCACTTCATGTCAGTGGAAATCATGAGCCCAAGACCATGTAAAGAGTTGCTCTCCTGGAGGCTAGCATCAGCCATGCTGATGGTAATCAGGAAAGGTTCTCTATGGTGATTAAATGAAAGCAGTTCTGTTTTTAGAGGTATTCAATTTTACAAGCCATTCCTTGCCCAAATTAGAGACCTGTCAGACTTGCTACTAAGACAAGAGTTAATAGTCGTGTCATCAGCATAAATACATAGTTGGAAACTGATGATATTAGGAAAAGTTTTTGATAAAAGATAAACAACATAGGTCCAAGGGGCCTCTGCATTAATATGAAATGAACTAGAAGCATATCCATTCATAAAAACCTTCATTACACAATTTGTTAGGAATGATTGCATGAAATCAAATATCAATCCTGTGACACCATAGCTCTTCAGCTTGTTGAGAAGGCCAGCATGCCAAACACTGTTGAACGCCTTTGAGATATCTAGGGCCACAGCCCGAACGTCATTGTTTTTATCTGAAGCTTGATAGCTGTTAACACATTGGCAGTAGACATGGAGAAATGGAAGTCATATTGTTTATCTGAAAGGAGGCCATGTGAAGTGAGGTGCTTAACCAATTCAGTGTTGATTAGAGCTTCTAGTTCATTATCAAAAAGAGGTAGAAGACTAAGGCCATCCAACAAGCTGGAAAGCAAGAAGCAGTGAGGAATTTATTGTAAAGTTTGGAGAGAACAGGATCCAGTTCAGGAACACATTTCTTAAGAACACTTGCAGGGATACTGCTAGCCTTGGATGGAGTTATGTTAGGTACCTCCACAAAATCACTAAAAAAAGAGCATAGCTTGATGAAAAAGATGCCAAACTTGCCGAAAACAAAATTTTATTGTCTAAATGCTTATGTTATTATTAAGAGGAAAGACGAAAATTTTTTTTAATTATTTTTAAAAATTTTTCCTTCTTTTTAGAACATTCTAAATTTTGTTTCTATTTGTATCAGCAGAACTAGTATATAACATAGACAATTTTTAGCACGTTTTTTGATATGACACACATTCATTTGAAAAATCGTGCAAAAATAGAAATAATTGTCGGATGTTAATGAAACTTTCAGGAACTATTCACAGATGATCGAAATTATTATAAATATGTTTTTTTTTATTAAAGTCATGGTAGAAATATTTTTTTAAAATATTTATTACCCCCCCCCTTAACTAATTTTATGAAAACGCTAGAAATTCGATTGCACTGGGTTTAGTGATTACAATAATTAAAAGCACAGGGTTTTGAGGAATACAAAGCATGTTTTTTTTTGTTTTTAATTGGATCTGCAGTACCTGAAAATCAGCTCTGAATTGTAACATACAAAACTCAATAAAACAAAGATATTATTTAATTTCAAATGCTTTTATTTGCTTTTAGTTGTTTTTATGAATATGGACAATATTTTCTGAAAGCAAAAATTTTTTTTTCGATGAAAAATGAATTTTTAATACAATTATTTGTTATTTCTTTAATTATAATAGATTTTACATTTAAGTTGTTAAAATATTATAAAATTAGTTAAAAGCTGCATCGGCTTTCCTAAGTGTCCTTATGAGATAGATCTTTTTTAGTTGTAAATTGTATCATTTTGACTAATCAGAAGATCTGCAGTAATTAAGAAATGTAATTTTGTGCTTATAACCGGGCTGTAATTATAAAGTACGGAAGACCAACTAGAATATAATTAAGTTGCGTTATTTGAGTTAAGCATTGTTCTCCGCTGTTAAGGCCTTTACTTTTGTGAAACACGTGTGGAGAAGTTAATTTGATTTTTCAATTTCAACTGAGAAGGGTACCTACAAGTATCAGTATCATCTTATGAAATTTATATGATCTTATTTTTATATTAATCTCAGTTATGACATTTTTCCATAAATAAAATATCAAAATTAATAATAAAATGAATGCAAATACAAATAACAGTAAAATGTAATAAATGTACATAAAATTATAGTATTTTATGTAAAGTTCTGATAAAATTTCATAAGAAAGGTACCTATAAATTAATTAGATACCTTTCTTAGGAAATATGAAATTTAATGTCACTCTTAACAGTCTTATTTTAATTTCTTTAGAATATATTTTCCATAAAGCATTATAAACATAAAGGTGAAAGCTAAGTACAAAAAAAAAAAATTAGACTGCTGAAAGTTTTCATTAAAAATAACGAGGTAAATAATTTATTCACTTAAATGTAAATTATTTCACTTTTCTCCTTCCGTAGAACAAATTAGCCTCATGGAATTCGTAAATATGTCATTCATCACCTGTCAAGAGGCGCGAAAGTTTATGACCTGCTTTGTTTTATTTTCAAATTACATCTTTTTGGTTCAAAATATTTTAAATAAACATTATAATTTCTGATTTTCTTAAAATAAGTTTTGAAAAAATGATAATTGATATTTAAAAGAATTTTAAATTGAGATTTCCAGTTTTTTTTAAATGGAAAAAAATGTCCAATTTTGCTGACTCAAAAAAAAACTAGATTTTTAAAGAAAATTTCGGACGTGCTAGGAACAATTAAAAAATGGAAAAAAATACCTCAAAAATACTTTGATCTTTCCTCTTAATAATAACAAAGATTTAGACGATAAAATTTTGTTTTTGTCAAGTTTGGCGTCTTTTTCATCATGCTATACTCTTTTTTTAGCGATCTCGTGGAGGTACCTAAGTTATGAGCAAGATATTTTATATGAAATATTGTACAAGTCCCTGAAATATGTTCAAGAACCTTAACAAATAATTGAACCCATTTTCAAGAAAGAAAATGATATTTTATATAATGCAAAGAAATAAAATTAAATTCATTAAAACAAATCTAGCTGAAGAAATGACAAATGCAAAAAGCCAAGCAAGTTAAGTCTTACCAACATTGGCGTTTACTGTAGGAATGATGGCTTGTAAGATAGAAACTGCCATTTTAGATGCTGTGTTTTCAAAACAATGTTTATTATATTATTAAAAACCTAAGCATAAAATGGAACTTACTTTTGGTCCAATTGGCCCTACTGGTCCAGAAATACCATGTTTACCAGGTGGACCTTGTGGTCCCTGGAAAATAAAGATTATGGAAATTTAATTTTTTCTTTTTAATTTGAGACATAAAAATGCAGATATAGTTGAACACAAAAAATTAAAATGAGATATTAGTATATCTCATTGGATTTAAAGAAAAAAGAAATGAAGGCACAATATAAAAACAGGAAATACGATATTGTACAAAATTTTTCAAACTATATTTTATCTGTCATTATAAACAGCTATTACAAATTTAAAACTGTTGTTTCCATTTGATTTAAAGATTCTCATTTATGACTGAGTATCAGCAAGTATATCTGAAAGACATGATTAGTACTTTATTCATTTTCAAACTGACATTAATCATGAAGATTTATTGTGTGTAGAGTACAAACTGTAAAAGAAATTAAAAACAAACAAAAAAAAAAATACTTGGATTTTTTATCAAAGAAATTAGTAAAATTATAATTGTACAAAAATTTAGAAGCTAACATAATTTGCAAATTCTTTTCAATGACACACTGACCAAATTAAATTATGATTTCCATATCTTCTATTTCTTCATCTGATGGGAATTCAACTTTGGCAGATTGAAATACTTTACAGTTGAAACATTTTTAATGCATATGTTTTAAATATACCAGCACTATCATTATATATATATATATATATATATATATATATATATATATATATATATATATATATATATACACACATACACACACATAATATATAAAATGGAAACAAATATGGATTAGAATCTGACAGACTGATAGAATAAGGATCAAATAGGAAACGTTTATGAATTTAACATGTTTTGCTTTTATTTAAGCTTCATTAGAAATGAAATATGGAAGAGAAAAGAAAATTCTGGTATTTTTATGTCTTTGTAAACCTCAAAATAATCTTCTGTCCCATATCAAGAAGACCTACTTATATATATATATATATATATATATATATATATATATATATATATATATATATTACACAACAGAGAAATCCAAAATTACTTCATTGGTATAGTCTATTTCAAGTACATCAGTCATATTCAACCCATATTCTTTGTTAAATTTTAAATCTCTAGTTCTAACATGAATAAAATCCATCTAAGACAGCAGTTGAAAAATTTGTACAGAGCCTACCTGAGACTGCCTGAGAAGTGCTAAGGGGTGGGTGGGGTGGAAGTTATCTGTCTTAAAAGGAAAGAAGCTCCACAAATTCAATCCAGATATTAACCTTAAGACCCCAAATTGGGGTTATACGAAAGATGAAATGTTAAAAGGAAACTAAAGGAAAGCCAAAAAAGGGAGTTTTATAAAGCAAAACTTTTAAATATTAATTATATAAAAAAATTGGTTCCCACAAAAAATACCAAAATATGCTTATGAATAAGATTAACAATAAATTGTATTTAGAAAAAAAATTTGTATTATTAAGGAATGAAAATAAAAATTTAAAGATAAATAAAATTTTAAAAATGAATTAAATTATTAAGAAAACAAACCATACCCAGTAATATATACCCCTCCACCCCACCCCCCATTTTTTTTTTAAAAATATATGGATAAAGAATTATAAGTAATTTAAGAAAAGGGAGTTCTTAAAGCAGTGGATAGTTAGTTACAAGAGAGGATTGATATGGAGAAGACAAAATATAGAAATAACTATAGCAATATGTTTAACATTAGAAAGGTTAGATAATTAAAAAATAAAGTAAAATCAATATTATAGAAGTTTAAACCTACTTCTATGACAACATTTTAAAACTAATTCATTTCTTTGATTTAATATTTTGCTTTGATTATTGAATTTTATTATTCTAATTTTCTCTTCTAAATAAAGGTCAAATCTATTCCTAAGACTATTAGGAGTATGAGTCAAAGCTATAATTTTCCAGTCTGTCTGAGGGTTCAGACCTATCTCCTTCAATTCACAAAATCTTTTAGAGAGAGAGCTGTCTGATATTTTAATTTTGAGTTGGTAAAAGAGTGCCTATGAGTGTAAAGTCTTTATTTCCATTCCCCCATGGAAATTCCAATTATGATTTAACCTATTTTCTTTGGGGTAAATGGTTTCTTGGTTGATTTCTGCAATTGGACAATATATCAATATGGACAATATATATATATATATATATATATATATATATATATATATATATATAAGTATAGGATTGTATATGGAATAAATTCCAATAACCAGAAAATACTATTCTTAAAAGAGTGTTCAATACAGAGTAGAGCAACTTTATTCTACATTCAACACCATCACTTAATAAGAAGTGCTAAAAGAAAATGGCGATTTTTGTAGTGATTTTATAACACATTTGTTATAATTTTTGAGTAAATTATATATATATATATATATATACACATACATACATACATGTGTGTGATATATATTAAATCATGCTGACTGATTTAAGACTGAATTTCATTTTCAAAATTACTTTATGAAATTATATAAAAAATTTAATCAAATTCACTGTCATCAGGGAATCCTTTAAGATTTTTGTCTTTACTGTGTAAGTTTCCAATTTAAATGAATCCTGTTAACTCATACAATTTTAATCTATGAATAAACAGCAAACATTCTTGTACCAGTCAATGAGAACAATACAGAAAATTGAAGCATACTTACATTTAATCCGATTCCAGGTCTTCCTGGTTCACCCTTGAAAAGAAAATTATCAATCAGCAATATTGTTCAGAATTACAAAATATTTTGAATTTATAACTAATTTAACTTGATAATTTGTAATAAATGATAAAAGAAAAATATTTAAATATTTTTCTTTTTTAAAAACATGCTTTAAATTTGGAGGTTAGCATGTTTCCATACATCTTAGTTATTCCACTAAAAAAAAATTTAATTGTCAAAGGAAGTCTATCAAATTAAAATCTTTTTAAACAATAATTTTTGTATACAAAGTTGCAATATTTTTTTTACTGCTATATAACATTGTACAGAAACTTAAAATCAAAGGTAAATATTTCCAATTTTTTAAATTCCTTTTTCTAAAAGGTTTTGATATAGTCTCAATAAATAAATAAGTAAATAAATAAATACCTTTAAGCCTTTCAATCCCAAGCCCGAATCTCCTTTTCGACCAGGATTGCCAGGAAATCCAGGAGGTCCTGTCTTTCCAGGAGAACCAGGTATTCCAGGCAAACCAGATGAACCCTGAAAGAAGAATTGGAGGAGTTGAAATCTAATTATTTGTAGCCAATAATTTACAAAAGTAGAATCATAAAACTTGTTATTGGATGGGGTGTTTTGCTTCTCTTTTAAATTGAAAGATATGTTTCCAAATCAATAAACCAAGATCATCATTGGTTGATAATCTAAAACCAGATAATTCAGCATAATTCTGTGCTGAACACATTTTCAAGATAAAACTCTTAGTTAAAATTTGGAAACCATTTACTATTAACAGCTTTCAGGATTAAGTTGCTCTTTTTAATTAAATACTCCTTTCTTTGTCAGAATTGTCACAGATATTTGTTCAGTATGACATGATACCAAATTAGAGAGAGATACAACTAAGAAGCCATATCTGTTGCGACTATTGTTCAAGTAGGAAGGCTCTTGCCTTGAAAATCAAGATCATGCACTTTATTTGTACTTAGACATCAACATATGACATAAGATAAGAAATGTTTTAAGTATTTCCTGAAAAATCTGTCCAAAACAAAATTTGGTACAGGAAATTAAGATTCTTGATTCTGTGGATAATGGCTGTCAACTCTGAGGAATGTTAATTTTTCATGTGATCAAATTGTGAGCCTTACCCAATATACAGAAACAAGAAAACACCTGAGCACTACTGGATAATTGTTCCAGTGCATATTACAATCAATTTTAATCATTATTTTAATCTAAAAATGTTTTTTTAAATGGATCAATCATGTTACATTATTTGGGTATAATTTTTTTTTTTTAAATAAATTTTATTCTCTTACCTGAGTACCATTACAACCATCTAAACCAGCAGGACCACGAGGACCTGGCTCTCCAGGAATACCCTTATAAAAAAACATAAAAGAAATAAAATTATTTTCTAAAGAAATTGATAAAATGAATAAACATTTTTCTTAACTGACACTGGTTGGCAAAAGGTTTGCTTTAAATAAACAGATTGTTATTCCTATTTTAACACTGAGAAAATTACCTAAATTTTAGTTAGCATACAAATTCTTTGAGATGAATTCTAAGAGTGAATAAGAAAAATGTTTTGTCTTAGTTTTCATTCAAGAATATGATGATCATAATATTTAATGATTTTACTTCTATGAACAGTTTTCCAAGAATACATGGTCTCACTTCAATATTCAATAGTGAAATGAATACAAGTACAATTATTCTGTTGATTAAATCATTTTTACATATTATCTTGCTGTTTCCATTATTTTCTTTGTTGGAAATTTAGGATACATCTTGTGCATCAAATTTCAAATTCAACTTAATACATGAATGTATTTTAACCAAAATTGTGGTACTTACAGGAATTCCAGGAACACCAGGATAGCCAGGAATTCCAATTTTACCCTGGAAATAAAAAAAAAAAATCATATAATTTACAGTCTTCTTTACAAGTTGAAAGGTTATGTTATTTTTGGATGAATTTTTTATCTTTTTTATCAAATCACAAAATGAAACTTATCTTTTTGTATTAATGTGGATATCCTCCCGGGGCTATATTCTGGGACCAATGTTGTTCCTAATTCTCATCAACAACCTTCCTAATGTCATCAGTTCTCAATATGATATATATGATGATGACCTCTATTTACTCCCATGTTAAGGCTAAGTCTGATCAATTTGATAAGTTCAAATTGGAAGATGATCTCAAAAATGACCTACTTGTAACTTTTAATGTCACCAAAATAAACCTTTTTTAATCATTTTAACCTTTGTTTTTCATCATCATTGCTGATGCTAACCTCCAGAAGAGTGATTTTTTGGCTTCAAAAATTTAAATGCAATTTCAATCATCATCTTCTATCTTGCAAATTCCTTTACTTTTATTGTTCTCAGTACATAATGTTTTCCTTTTCCTCATATTCTTTTATGCTCAGTAACCACTTGCATCTTAGTGGCTTTATTGCCTTGTTTGGGGTGAAATCATTACAATAAAATATGTAGGACATTTTAATTGGTATTAATGATGATCATTAACCCAGGCATTTTGTAGGGATACATCCCAAATTTTTAGATGGGACTTTTAATTTTCTCTATCAACAGTAAAATCTTATCTAAACATGACTAATTACAATAATTTTTGTTATGACTAATGTTCTGGTTAGTAAAATCTTTTCAACAATCTTTACAAAACATTCCCATATTCTTTTCTGGCAAATATTTTTCATCAAAAAACATTTTTGTGGGTTTAACGATGTCTTTGAGCTTATCTAACATGACTGAACTGCAAAACAATGGCATTCAAATTTTTTTGACCATTAGAGATGTTTTACTTTTTCTTGTTTTAAATAATATTTTAGCCAGAGCCATGTTAATAATCATTACAGCCACGATATAACTGAAAAAAAAAAGAAAAAAAATAGAAAAAGAAAATGGTAACGATTGTATACTGAAGATGGCTCTGAAAAATTTGTTTTTATTTCTAACTTTCTCTAAAAACATATGGATTAGAATTTATATCTATAACTAATATAATTAAGATAATTTTTAAAAATATATGCCTTACTTTCACAAAAATGTTAATAATTAAAAAAAAAAGAAAGAAAAGAAAAAGTAGTATTACATAATGAAGATAATGTTTTTCTTACTCTGTCTCCTTTAGGACCAGAAGGACCTGGTGGACCAGCTCTTCCTTTGTCTCCTTTAGGCCCAGTTAAACCCTCGGGACCTGGGTAACCTCTGACACCTTGAACACCTCGAGGACCTATAGGTCCATGAGGCCCCTGAAAGAGAAAATATTTCGTATCATTCTCTATCATTTAATGAGTGATAGAGTGACAGCATTTGTAGTATATTTACTTGTGCAGATGTAATCTTGATATATTAATGTATTAAAGAATAATTTCTATGATTTTTATAACAATTTACAAATAAACAAATGCTTTTCTAAATAAAAAACAAAACATAATTGGTAAGAAAAAGGCAATATTTTAGTGGAAAAATTTTTCATTTTTATTCTTGTTGAACATTTATAAATAATGTACAGATTATAAATGGCCTTATTCTGTCAGTAACATTTAATTCTACTGATAATTATTTTCTTTATTTTTAAAGTAGAATATACAAATTGTTTGGGTAAGTTTTCACATTCAAAGTTAAGTAAAAAATTGTATATCTAGTAGTTAATCAAATTCTACATTTAATCATTGATGTTACAAATGGTGATTTTTATTCATTCATAGCATTGTGAGTAACCTCTACTTTGCAAAAATCACCAACAGTGGGCTATCACAAATTCTTCTGTGAAGCCAAATTGTACTGTTTTGACACTGTAGGTATTATTTTGAAACTAATATTTTAGTAGAAAGATTATATACATTAAAAAATCTGTTGAGGATGAGATAAAACATGATTTTTAATTTCAAACATATTAAGCCTTTATGAAAATAAATTATTGAAAATAACACCAATTAAAAGGATAAAGCAAAGTTTAGCAGTTTTTTCAGTAGCAAATAACTCTTCAGAGTCCTTGTAAAAAATCTGGTAGATCACCAGTACTAATTTTTAAACAATGGTGAGCTGTATGTTTTTTATTTATGTCATTTATTTCTACTTTTATTTTACCTAAGTTCAGAAATACTTTATATCTGTTTTTCTTAGTACAGATGTTCCAGCAAGTCCAGGTTTTGATGAACTAGACAAAAACACTTTAGTCAAAGTAGTAAAAGAAGCTATCAATTTAAATATCTTTGATAAAGCAAAGCAGCTGTTCCTTGCAAATAAAGTACTTATCTTATGGCTTGTCGACATATGTTAATAATCCAAATGATCTTAAATTTTAATTTCAGAAAAAGTTCACATCGTCATATTTTGTTTAAAGAATTGCGAGTGACTGCAGAATTTGATGGCAAGCAGACAATGTGCGTCTTTTTTTAAAAATATAAAATGAAAATTTATTTTTAACTCAAAACAGATTTTTAGCCTTAATCAAAATAAATTACTGAAAATAACACCAATTATAAAGACAATTTAGCAGTTTTGCCAATAGCAAATAACCATTTAATTCTTTCTGGCAATAGTAAATACAGAGTTGCCAATCTAGCTCCTTTTCAGTGCATTTAGTACCTGTAAATCAGCATCTAGCTTAAACAGTGGACTATGAGATATGGCTCATCTTAAGTTGGGTCGTACTACTAAAAAAGTTCAAGGTAATTTTTTATTGAAAGTGCCTTAGCCATTTTCACTACAGAAAACCATGTGTGTATGTACCTGCCTTAGAAGTGGGGAAAATTGATTTTTTTTCTTTGGAGAAAAGATTTTTTTTCTATAATTAAAAAATTGAAGTCTTGGTATAATATTATCAGTGATGATTAACACACATGAGATTTGTTTTTAATTTATTCATTTGATCATATAAAAAATATTTTAAAACAAATATATTTCTTCTCCAGAGAAAAATGTTTCCTGTTTCTAAAACAAAATATGTTTAGATCTTCCTTTGTGAAATATTGCCAATGGTTTGAACAGCTGAAAACATAACCTTCAGCAAAAGGTTGCAAAATTCAAGAACCATTATACATAATTGTTGCTATATAACGTTTTTTATTATTAATATTTATTTCATAACTACATAAGAAAGCAACATACTGATTTATGGGAGCTAAATGCACTGAAAGAGAGTCAGATCTTGGTTCAAAAGAGTTAACTATTTACCAGAATTGCCAATTTATCTTAAGAAACCCTGAAACTGACTAACCAATATGAATATAATCAAGACTACAATTTGATTAAATGGAAATATTCTTTGTTATTTCATCTTGATTAGTGTCCAACATGGAAAAGTGAAAAGATGAAGTAAAAACAAAAATAAGAAACTTAAAGAAAGGTTTTTAGAATCTAATTTGCCAATTTATTTAAAAAGAAATCTTCCACAGCCCGAATCTTTAAACATTACCAATATAATGAGTGCAGAGAACTCACAAATTATGCAAATTGGAATATGCAAAATTCAAACGCAAAATTATTCAAATAAAAGAATATGAAAATAGGCAAATGTATCTTGTATATATTCTTATAAAAGATTTTGTAATGAGCTTTTGTAAGTAGAAATATCATTTCATAAAATCCTTGAACTAAACCAACAATACAATTATTTTTATGCTTGCTTTTAAGCAACTTTATAATTCATTTGTGACATTTTCTATTAATTCCCAACAATGTTTATAGAGAAGGATTTTTATAGAAATCTGAAATTTTATGCCCTATTGTCCATTCAAGAAAGAACCAAAAAGATAAGTTTAGGCAAATGGATTTGAAATTCTGTGGGTAAGTAATGTATGAATTTATCATCTGGAATAATAACTATTTCATTCAAAACAATACACAATGTCCTGAAACTAATAAACATTTACCTTAAATAAAGATTAATTTAAAACAGATATATTCAAACCATGAACTACCAATTTATACATAAACCTTACCAGGCCTGTTGCCAGAGTGCTTTGAATAGGGGCAGGGCTTTTAAGTCAAGAGGGTTGTAAGTAAGATTTTGTAAACTAAAATTAGTTCATATTATTTTCACAGGGGTGCTGGGAAGGAAGTCCCTTGGCAAGAGGTTTGTGCTTTTCTCAGGACCCCTAGAAATTTGTGAGTTCATGTAAAAACATAAAAAAATAAAAAGTAACATGGCACTCTTAAAAGAAATCAAAATACTGATGTTAACAGACTGACAGAGAAATACCAAAATGCCTGTTGAAATTATACAGATGTAAGTTATAGTCTTTAAAATATTTACCAGACCCTTAAAAATTAACAGTGACTGGATTTATCAAGCACATACATACAGCTCTGTGGGAGACCATGCAAATCAGTGTAACTTCAACATTCTAAATTTAAAAAGTAACAGATGGACAACCAGATGACAAAGTTAGTCATTGTAAAGTTTGAAGAAAAGTACTTTTCTAGCTGGTTTTACTAAGTCAGCAAGAGATAACTTTTGTCTGTGAATGTGGGAGTAATCAACAGTTTGTTTTTGAGCTTTTGTAACTATATCAGTGTAAAGGTTTTCTTTACACCAAGCAGTATTTATATAGACAAAGAAGATGCCAGTCAACCAAAGACAGGTCACACTGATGACTGCACACAGAAATGATCTGTGTAAATTTCTCTTCTTCTTCTTCTTATTATTAGCCATGATAAAGTATCGGATTTAATTTACAAAAGAAAACCATATATCAGCATTGAGTTGATAAACATCTCTCTTTCTGTCATACACACATATATATATATATATATATATATATATATATATATATATATATATATATATATATATAGATAGATAGATAGATAGATAGATAAAAAGCGACAAAAGCTGATATTACCTACAATGGCATATATACATTCCCAAACACCTTCATATGAGAGGCAATATTCTAATTTTACAGTAGTTATGCCAAAACTTTGATATTTATGGATTTACAACTTAGAATAAGTTTTTGAATAATCTCAAAGTAAAACTTGAATAAAGTTCCTAAATGCAATAATTGATAAATATGAAATGCATCAACCATAATCTGACTATTTTGCTTTTTAGTAGCAAAGAATATTCTTAAATCACTGAAGCATACACATTCTTATGTTGGTTTCTTGGTATTGTCATCAATAAAGAAACATTCTTTTCTATCCAGTGGTAATGAAAAATAAAGGGGAATTTAAGAAAACCACTAACAAACACATTCTTTGGATGAAAAAAAATGATTTTGTGCTTTATATTGTAAAAAGTACAAAAGAATTAAAAGAAAGGTAAATTTTGTATCAATAAGAATGCAATTTTAAAAATTCTTCTTGGTGTTTTCCAAGTCAGATTGGTTTTGTTTGATAAAAGATGTTTTCATTTATTCCAAGGGAAATTCATAAATTATACAGGCTGATATAATTATATCAATAAGTTCTAATGATGAATAAAGTATTTTTCACAACATATTTTTCAACATAATTTCCTTTCATGTTAATGCACTTAATTCTGTTGTAAATATTAATCACACAGACTGAACTTTATACAGTGAATATTTTAGATCAAAATTAACTATGTGTCAGACTACAGACTTATTTATGCACATCTGCATATACGTCAAAACGTATGTAAAGAACTTTCAGCTTTGTGGCACTGCGAAGGTGTTTCTCTTTCTTCCTTTCAAAATACCAACAAATACAAATATATGTAACAAAGAAATTAAGATGCTTTATAAAATCAAAATGAGGTTGAAATGATTTACAAAAATGTTTATCAGCAAATTTATTAAATATTCTGAGATGAAGTGGATAGTAATGAAATAACACAACCAATGAAAGGCAAATATAGAAGGAAAGTGACAAGAAAGACCAAATAGTAAGGCAAATTTTAAAACTTAATGTTAATCAATTGTCACAACTTCAAGTTTCAGATCCTGTGAGTCCAGAAAAAGAAAAACAATTTTTCCCCTCCTGCAAGGAATATGACTTTACTTATTTGATCAAATTTTAGTGGAACAAAACTAAAAATCAAAAATAGTTGGTTTGACTCAGATCACAAAACTGCTTAAAAGAAAAAGAGTAATGAAAAAAAAAAAATATTCTGGTTTAACTTCACAGACAAAAAGAATGAAATAAGTTTTTTTTTAATGTTCAATATATCTACATTTTGTTGATTAACAATCTTTTTATGACAAATGTATTCTTATTTATATGATTTTTTCATCTTGAGAGTCTTTGCTCAGTCAAGAGAGATCACAAGAGTTTTCAT